TGCCCCGAAGGTGGAGAAGGACGCGAGCTCCCCACGCTGCCCCAGGGGATGGTGCAGAGGCGTCCTCCCTGTCGGCGTCCCCGCTCCACATTCCGGCATCCTCGGAACAGCCGGCACAGGCCGGGCGCGCGTCAGCTGTCCGGCCGCAACCCCCTGCAGGGGCACTCCTTGGCCTGCTGCTGCCAGCCAGGCTGCCCCAGACGCAGGCGCTCAGGGAAAGGCAGGGGCCAGCCCGAGCTGCCGACCCAGCTGCTCCTCCGAGCAGAAGCCAGGTGAGGAGGCGAGGATGGAGGGAGAAAAACCTCATCCCACAAGGAAAGCTTGGTGACCCCGTCTCCAGGGGCAGAACTCCCCTCCCAGGAATGAGCATTGCACAACGTGGTTGCATCTGGTTCTGAGCGAGTCCGCCACACCCCGCCGAGCAGACCCCCCCGGACCTCCGGGGCCCCGTTTCTACTGCAAGCAGCTGGGGGCCAAGTGTGCGCCGGGCACGTCTCTTGGCCTCTCCCAGGCTCGGCTCCCCATCTGTAAGAAGGTGGACGATGTCCGCCCTGGACAGGACCGCGGTCGCGAGAGGTGCCCGGGCCAGGCAAGGGCCACGAGCGCAGATCTGCTGGTTTCTCCCTCGATTCCACGCGTGGGCGTGAAGCGTACTGTTGGGAGTCAGGCACAAGTGTGACTTAGTAAGGAAGGGCGAGCGTTGCTGGGATGGGTGGGGAAAATGTTTTCTGCATCACGGGGCCAGCTGGAGAGGGGAGTGGCCGCCGCAGGATTCCTGGGTGCAGCTGAGACAGCTGGGGCGGGGCGTGCTGGGCTCACACTGAGTTCAGCTCTCCAAATAGCCTTCGCGCCACTGTCCAGAACAGACGGTAAGAATTTCACGGGACTTCTGTCTGGAAGTTTGCGGTTGACAAGGCGTTTTTTACCTACATGATCACAGTAGCTTTCCCAGCAAGGCTGTTAGCTAGAGAAGGTAGGTGCCTGCCCTGCCCTGGAGCCTGAGAGAGGACGAGTTGCAGGCTTGTCCAAGAGAAAGGCCGGGGGGACCCAGCCACCCACCTCCCTGCCCCCTACTACCCTTCCTTCCAAAAAGCACTCAGGACCAAGCCTAGGACTCGCTACAAAGGTCGGTTCCTAGCTAGACTGGTGGGGACTGACTAGGAATGGAATCCAGGCAAACACCTGGCCCATCATAATCAGATGCAAACCATTCTGACTCTATTTTTTAATGCCATCCTAATTTATAATACGTTAAACTCTGAGAAAGGCCTAGAGCGAGCCACTTTGCTAAGACAGGCATTATTCAATTTTTCCTTATTCCTATCATCATATTCTGGGTCCTCCTCTCAGAAAGGGAAAGTCCTGCACGGCAAGTTTTCTGCCGTCTAGTCTCTCCATTCACAGTCATTCGCTAAGGGCATTGGCATAGGAAGTAACACGCTGAGTCTCACGCACAACACACAGGAAATGTTCTCTTTAACCGTCAGGAACGTACATTCTAGTACCGGAGGTGGGACTTCTGAATGTGAAAGGCGGGATCCTCTGCTGGGGCAGGACTTGGTGAGTGCAGAGGCTGTGGTGGGTACTGTCAGGCCTCTGAGCCCAAGCCAAGCCATCACATACCCCATGACTTGCATGTAACTGAAGAATCACAAAAGAAGTGAAAATGCCCTGCCCCGCCTTAACTGATGACATTCCACCACAAAAGAAGTGAAAATGGTCAGTCCTTGCCTTAAGTGATGACATTACCTTGTGAAAGTCCTTTTCCTGGCTCATAAACCTCCCCCACTAATCACCTTGCGACCCCCACTCCTGCCCGCCAGAGAACAACCCCCCTTTGACTGTAATTTTCCTTTACCTACCCAAATCGTATAAAACGGCCCCACCCTTATCTCCCTTCGCTGACTCTTCGGACTCAGCCCGCCTGCACCCAGGTGAAATAAACAGCCGTGTTGCTCACACAAAGCCTGTTTGGTGGTCTCTTCACACGGACACGCATGACAGGTACAGACAGGAGGTGGTCGCTCAGCTCTCACACAGCTACGTGGTGATGTCCTGCCCACCTGGAATCTGGGACCTGAAAAAGAGCACATGGGCTCATCGTAGCCTGGAGGTGCAGACAGTGAAGATCAAGTTGATTTAATCCAATCCACAGGGGTAAAAATAGCTTAAAAAAAGGATGAACATTCCATTGGTGCTTTTAACTGAGAAAGTGCAGCACAGTTTTGGATATCTTTGCTGGCAGCTGTTCATTATGCAACAGTTCAGCTGGTGGCAGGAAGGGCAGGAAGAAAGATGAGCAGATCCAAAAGATCCAGAGATGGGGAAGGGGCCAGGAGGAGGGGAGGGAAGTGGGTGAGGGTCTTTTCAGAGGTGAAGGGCAGAAGTCCCAGAGGTGGATGGGCTTGCTTTTTTTAAGCTGTTTTTACCCCTGTGGATTGATTGTGGTGAGCCAAAATCACACCACTGCACTCCAGCCTGGGCAACAAGAGCATAGTTCTGTCTCAAAAAAATAATAATTACATATAATGTAATATATTATATATCTCATATATCTATATATATATGTCTCATAAAATCTTAACCGTTTTTACATGTACAGGTCAGTAGCATTAAACATATTCACATTGTTCTGCAACAGATCTCCAGAATGTTTTCATCTTTCAAGACTCACCTATTATCATCTATTACTTTTTTTCCTTCTTTTTTTTTTTTTTCCTGAGACAGTCTTGCTCTGATGCCCAGGCTGGAGTACAGTGGCACGATCTCAGCTCACTGAAATCTCCTCCTCCCAGGTTCAAACAATTCTCGTGCCTCAGCGTCCCCAGATTCTCTGAAATCTCCTCCTCCCAGGTTCAAACAATTCTCGTGCCTCAGCCTCCCCAGATTCTCTGAAATCTCCTCCTCCCAGGTTCAAACAATTCTCAGCCTCCCCAGATTCTAGGATGACAGGTGCCTACCACCACGCCTGGTTAATTTTTGTATTTTTAGTAGAGATGGGGTTTTACCATGTTCACCAGG